CCTTAAAGGAGAACTATGAGGTTAGTGCTTTTCCCCATAGTTCTCCTAACTAGCGTCCTCCCGTCAATCAAAGCTCAGTATAGCGCAAGCTTAAGAAAGGCTGCTCAAATATATCAGATGTCAAGTGTTTGCCTCTCTGTGCACATAACGAGGATACTAATGTGAAGATATAATGCATAATGACACCCATATACCTGTGGACAAAGGGTCAGGTCTTGCAGCCCCCACTGTCATTGCAGTCAGTTCTTGGCATCAAATTACATGCTGTATGACATAAATACTTGCTAGTGGTTCGACTCTCTTACACCCACCCACCAAATTGCGCTGGCCATGGTGGAGCTGGCGTTTATTACTGGCTTCCAGATCTTGTTGAGAGATGGGAATTAAACAGATTGTGAAAATCATTCACGAGCTTCATTTCACATTTAGCGTTCCTGGTAATGTCAGCGTCAGCTGTTTGTAAATTTTTTTAAATTAAATTTAATATATATAAGAGGGGTTTGGGGATCCATGTATACAAATACATCAGTCATGAAATATAGGTACAGTTGGCCTATCAAGTACAATATACATTTTTGGACACGACTTCAAAGCCAAAAAAGTCGAGGAGCTCCTCTGGATGCCAGGGGATCATGAATGTACCAGCATCAAAAAGAAAAACCAAGAGCAAAAGTACACCAAATGGACCTGAAGCACCAAAACCTCCCATTTTAAGACAAATATAACCAGCGTAACAGAGAAAATGAAAGAGATGGCGGAGATAGGAACAGAGAAGTCGAGAGGATGCAAAAAAAGGACCTATGATTAGTAGGGGGAAAAAGGAAATCAAGAGAAGGATAGAAAAGAAGAGAGCAAATGAAAGAGAAGGAGATATGAATAGAGAAATGGAGAGATATGAATAGAGAAGGAGGAGATATGAATAGAGAAGGGGAGAGATATGAATAGAGAAGGGGAGAGATATGAATAGAGAAGGGGAGAGATATGAAGAGAGAAGGGGAGAGATGAAAAGAGAAATGGAGAGATATGAATAGAGAAGGGGAGAGATATGAATAGAGAAGGAGGAGATATGAATAGAGAAGGGGAGAGATATGAATAGAGAAGGGGAGATATATGAATAGAGAAGGGGAGAGATATGAATAGAGAAGGGGAGAGAGAGGAATAGAGAAGGGGAGAGATATGAATAGAGAAGGGGAGAGATATGAATAGAGAAGGGGAGAGATATGAATAGAGAAGGGGAGAGATATGAATAGAGAAGGGGAGAGATATGAATAGAGAAGGAGGAGATATGAATAGAGAAGGGGAGAGATATGAATAGAGAACGGGGAGAGATGCAAAAAGGAACTAGGGGCAAAGGAAAGGAGGAGAAGGAAAGAAGAGGGAAGAAAGAAGATAGAAAATGAAAGAGAAGGAGAAAATACGAATAGAGAAGAAGACGAAGAAAGAAGAAAAGCAACGGAAAAGAGAAGCCTGCCCTGTAGCACTGGGGAGAGGAAAGCTAAGGGGACAGTAAGGTTTAAAAGGAAGAGCAAGTCCGCTATGTTCCCCTCAATTGTTTTCTGCATTTTAACAATAAACAGAAAACAAGGAACTTTTATCGCACACTAGCGCATTTGTTTCAATGATCTGGATTGGAGGCAAACAGGAGCCTTGCTGTAGAGCCAGAGCAGCACTATATTGGTAGAGAGGTAGAAGCTCTTTCCGTGCCTTTGATTGAGACCTCATTTTGAATTTCCCCGATTTGTGCTCCTAAATTTAAAAACCATTGAGCAAGGCGGAGTAACGCTTTAGCTAAGGGCCACTGCGTTCGCTCCCTTTGACAATGGCAGGCCAATCACACAGTAGTCAATCCATCTGTGGCCAAACGTGAACAAGCCTCCGGCCTGGTTTCTCGGCTCCTCACTGACAGATGTTTCATCCAGCAATCATAATCTGTCAACAAACGGTTGATAGCGCGGCCGTAGAAATCACTCAGAGCTGCCAATTCATGTTCTAGAAGCTCAGGACGCTAGGAGGCCACCTGTGACGGGTTGGCTGTGTGGGCGCTATATGTGTGATGTCTGCCCCATACACCCCCAGGGGGGCCCCCGATTATACCGGGGCCCCTGCCATCAGATGAGCAAGAATCCATATTGTGGCAGACCTGACCAAGATCTTTTTTTTTTTTTTTACAAAAGCAACATCCATCAATGAGCAGTGGCAAACTCTCCTTCCGAAAGGCCGCAGAACACGCATGTGACGGCGAGAGTAATAATAAAATTACGCCAATGGGCAAAAAAATCTAAAAATAGAAAAAGAGACACGAGAGATGATCATTGGTGCGGCAGAAGATTCATAAAAAATGACAGCTCCGCCAATGTGATTTTCGCTGAAGTTTCTACGACGGACCAATGCTTTACGCAAAATCGCACTTTTGTTCAGCCCAATATCTAATGTCAATGGGTGGTCTGAAGCTGACCATTCACATATAGGCTGAACATGAGATGACTGCTCGATTCTCTAATCCATGCTAACCAGCGTGGATGGAGGGATCTCCACTCCCGGCTATTGTATTCTGACCGCCGGCGCTTGCAGCTATTACAATACTGCAGTCACTGTTTGGCCGACAGTTTTCCACCCGGCTCTTTTCATTTTTCAATCAAAGTTTGTCAAGCCGGGCACACATTGCCACAGAACCGCAATAACGTGTGCCTTGTACTGCCGCGCAGTTAAAAAAGTAGCTCATGCACTACTTTTAATCGCCACACAGCAACACATGTTATTGCGTTGCGTGTTGTACCCTATGATTTATGATAGCGTGCGCTAAGTACTATGGTGTGAATACGCCAGAGAGGGTTAAACTGGCCATACATTGTTAGAATTGAGGCCGATTCCTGCAGTTCTAACCATGGAGGGCCCCGCAGGCACCATCCAGCTCAACACATTTTTAATGAAAAATCGAAGGAGCCGGACAATCAGCTACAGTCACTGTTTGGAAGCTGGAAGGTGTAATTACTACATCCCCGCTGTTCAGCATGATTTTATCTTGTTCAGCCCACGGGCTAAATGGGGGAAAAAACTATACGAGTATAGCCAGCTTTAGCGCAAGGGGGAGCCTTATAATAGGGCATCGCTTTCTACTTCACATCTAACAGTGTTGACCAAATGCTCACCATACACATTACAATCTGTCAGATCTTCATTAGATCTTCCGATATCTATGCAGCGCAAGGACCTCTCTGGTGGTAAATTCAGTCACCTGTTTTTGCAGGTCCTCGAATAAAATAGTATTGGTAACCCGAGGGAAGATTGTACAGAGACTGTGCAACCAGGCTGTTACATGTTTGGCCCAGTTAAGCGTCAGCTCTTGAGGTCACACTGAAGAAACTGTTTATGTTAATATAAGCATCAGCTCTTGTGACAAGACAGACATAGGTCTGAGAGACGGGTAGGTATCAGTATATCCATTAGATTCATGCAGACTAGGGCGGTATAGAGCAGTGTATTAAGAGAGTGTCAGCTCTTCATACCAGGGGATATAGAGCAGTGTACTAACAGAGTGTCAGCTCTTCATACCGGGGGATATAGAGCAGTGTACTGACAGAGTGTCAGCTCTTCATACCGTGGGATATAGAGCAGTGTACTAACAGAGTGTCAGCTCTTCATACCAGGGGATATAGAGCAGTGTACTAACAGAGTGTCAGCTCTTCATACCAAGGGATATAGAGCAGTGTACTAACAGAGTGTCAGCTCTTCATACCAAGGGATATAGAGCAGTGTAGTAACAGAATGTCAGCTCTTCATACCGGGGGATATAGAGCAGTGTAATAATAGAGTGTCAGCTCTTCATACCGGGGGATATAGAGCAGGGTACTAACAGAGTGTCAGCTCTTCATACTGGGGGATATAGAGCAGTGTACTAACAGAGTGTCAGCTCTTCATACCGGGGGATATAGAACAGTGTAATAATAGAGTGTCAGCTCTTCATACCGGGGGATATAGAGCAGGGTACTAACAGAATGTCACATTCCGGAAGATACAGACTGGTGTTGAAACAGAGTGTCAGCTCTTCACACCAGACAATATAGATCCTTACAGTAACAAAGCATAAGTTCTTAACACCAGGAGAAACAGGCATGTGCAGTACCAGAATATCAGTGCTTTAGACTGCCCAGGTAATGACTTATGTTTAAAGTGTCAGCTCTTTGTTTTAGAAGTGATAGACAAGTGTTCTATAAAACATATTGGTCAAGGGAAATATACGAGATACTATTCAATACAAGTATATGATTCAAGTGTCAGCTCTTCAGATTACATAGATCATTTGTATAAAAATAAAAGCTCAGCTCCACAGCAAACAGGCAAATACACAATGAACTTGTCAACCTTTTGGTCAAGGGGTAAATCTGCTATACTGTTAAAGCGTCAGCTCTTCAGACTAGGCAAGCATGGATATATAAAGTGTCAGCTCTTAAGACTAGACATGCATGGATACATAAAGTGTCAGCTCTTCATACTAGACAGGTACAGATACATAGAGTGTCAGCTCTTCACACTAGACAGACATGGACACATAAAGTGTCAGCTCTTCAGACTATACAGCCATGGATACAGAACATGTCAGCTCTTGACACTAGACAGGTATGGATACATAAAGCGTCAGTTCTTCGGACTAGGCAGCCATGGATACATAAAGTGTCAGTTCTTCGGACTAGACAGACAGATATAAAGTGTCAGCATTTCAGACTAGATGGGCATGGATACATATAGTGTCAGCTCTTCGTACTAGACAAGCATGGACACATAGTGTCAGGTCTTCAGACAAGACAAGCATGGACACATAAAGTGTCAGGTCTTCAGACTAGACAGGCATGGGTACATAACATGTCAGCTCTTCAGACTAGACAGGCATGGGTACATAAAGTGTCATCTCTTCAGCCCATAAAGAAATAGAAAGGCGTACTATTAAAGTGTCAGCTCTTCGGGCCAGGCGTAACGCACCCCCTCATCTGAACAAAGCTCACCTTGTTTTTGACCTCGGCGCTGAGTCCATAGGCTGGGCCCCGGTTAAAGTGAGCTGACATGGCTGGCAGTTCTGTCTCTTCACCTCTCTCCGTCAGAAGATGCTCTCAAAACTTTTCCTGCAAGTTTTTAAATGTCTCATTATTCTGGGTGATGTGTGTCTGCACCAAGCACCGGGGATTGGTCCGGGCTCTGGCCAATGGCGGAGCAGCATTCCCTGTGATGTCAACGCGTTGGTATTAAAAAAAGAATGAAATATATATATATTTATATAGTCAGAGATATCAGGAGTGTGTCAGACTTTCCAACTTTGGATTTTGTTGGAGTGATGAGGGAGGAGGAGGAGAAGGAGGAGGAAGAAGAGAACAGAGGGGAATAGAGAAAGGAGATTAAGAATGATGGGATCATCAGATAGAGAAGAGAGATAAACCTGAGCAAGAGTTAGGCCACAAAGGGGTTAATAACAGGGAGGGGAATCAGATAGTGTGTGAAATACGGAGCAGCAAAGCTAATGAGGAGGAAATGAAAGAGTAGAAGTTATGATATGAGGGAAGGAGCAAAAGAAAACAACTCATGTGTTCAGGACAGGGCAGATCTAGATATATAGAGCAAATGGGGGGGCAGAACTGGTTATATAGAGCAAAGTTTTTTTACGCATGCCAGTCACACAGTAGATTGTAAGCTCCTCGGAGCATTTAAATCCATTCCTGCCAACAGATACAAGAGATCTATTATCACTTTTCATCCTCGGCTCTGTTTGTGTATATAGCCCTGGACTTATAAGGAGAGTATATGTCTGGAATTCCCTCACTGTCTATATTATATACATCGTGATTTATTTCACTTCACTGAAGTGGGAGAGATCTCTGTACAAATATGAAATGTTGTAATAACGTATTATAGTAACTCAGCTTCAAGATTCCATCTTAGCACATTGCACCGTGAGTGTCTTATTACCCCTGTAACATCATATTACACTAACC